AAGATGTGGTCATGATAGGGTCACCATGGCGAGTTACTGGACTTTGATTCTGTACAAATCCAGGTCAGAGAAAGTTTTCATAACCTGTAGATTTGAGCCAGGGGTCTTGTCTGGTGCTCGCCTGGGCGCTTTTGAGCGCCATGTGGAGGAACACGTGGGCTGAGGTGGAAGCAGAGGACTGCTGATTGCACACATGTAGCTGAATCTACACAGAAGAGTCTCGGAGTGAGGAGGCACCCCTGAAACACTGGTTCAGAATATTCCAAGCAGCCAGGAGTGCTGTGATCAGCGCTGGCTGCGAGGGTGAAACCACAGAATTGGGCTGGGCGCTTTGGGACGGGTCCCCACGCAGCAGCTCTTTGAGGACCGGAGCAGAACCGCGGTGACGAGTCCTCCGTCCCTGATCCCCACGCCAGCCGCTGCCACGGGCTCAGCCTCCAGGAAGGGAGCTGAGCAGGTGTAGCGTGGGGTGAGACGGAGCCCTGGGTTTCCATCAACTGTGTGGTGTGTATTTGACGTGGAAGAGGGGAGGGAGGTTTGATCAGGCTGATATTTTGCCTCGTGACCGAGTTTACTGCGTGCTCTGGGTAGGATGCCTTGTAGTCATCTCCTTCCCCTACTCCTCCCTTTCCTTGGAAACTATCAGTTGTCTCCTCCCACGTCCTCACTTCAGAGCAGGGTCAGTCACGGTGGCTTTGCCGGTGCTGGAGTAAATCCGAGCAGCGTCTGCTCGCCTTCAGAGGACCACGCAGCGGTTCTTCTGCCAGTCCTGCATGAGAAGAGACTGTGCCCTTGAGGACGGCTCCATCAGACGGGGCGGTCTAACGGGCTGCTAAAACATTGGCAACAAGAAGTTAAAGTCTCAAAGCCATCGTGCCTCGTGGCCCCTTTCCAAGCAAAGTAGTGTTTACTTTTTCCCTTCCTCCCTGTTGCAATGCTACACGGGAACAGAGCGGCAGCTCCCCGCTCTCCCTCCCGCTGATGTGCATCTCTTCTGTATTCCCTCTGAAGAAGGCCATCTCGACCGTGCTCCACTGAAGAGCCCACCAGGACCAGACATGACCACAGGTGGCCATTTCACCCCGCGCCATTTCCAGTCCCTCTGAAGCAGAAGCCACTCTCCTAGTGAAATGGCTTCTAAAGCACAATGAAATTAAAAAATAGTGAAGTATATTTCTTTTTTTTCTGGCTTTTGAGTGCCTGGGGCTCACTTTTGGAAGCTCACTTAAGGGCCAGAATGGTCTCTTCTTCAGAATCGCATGGTGATACACTGCTGTGTTTGTTTATCTTCAGAGCGTAGAGCTTTAAGGAAAGACCAGATCTCACTGGGGATGAGATCTGTGATCCCATCATGGAGCACCATGAAAATCTGCCATACCACAATCTCTTTTTCTCTTAGAGAAGTTGTTCCACTAAGATGTGCTGCAGACCATGAGAAAGGCCGTGCCATCGCCAATGCTGGGGAATTTAATACAAGCCTATTAAATAGTCTCCCCACAGCAGCACACCAAAGTCAAAGATATGGATTGTAAGACCAAAAACATTAATTGCATAATGTCCTGAATAAATTCCATTGCCGTTTTTAGAAAATTGTCTAATTAATATTGTTTCCATTATTTAGCTAGCTTAACTCTCACAGATAAACGAAGGGATAATGTAGGTGGTAAGGAGTTGTCCAGGCTTTTATTCTAAATGTTTATAAGAAATCATAACTTCTGTTTTAGCTTTCTTGTACTATTTTCCAATCACAAAGAGTTTAAATCCTGAGTTAACCTCTGGGCTGCAGTTTTACCCCTTTTCCGTGAGTGTTTTCTCTCCTGTTGAGAGAAAAGTTCTTGGCCAACATGGCTGTCTACCACTTTCCATGATATGACTTAAAAATAAAAATGATTCTACAAGCTGGTCGGTTAAAGTTCTGTTTATCCTGAAGATACAGCATTTTCTGGCTGATGCCATGAATTCATCAGCTCAGTTGCCAGCAGCCTCTGCGTGTGTTCAGCGCGTTTCCAGCCAGGCTGAGCTGTCCAGGATTTTGGCTGTGGTTTTCATCTCTTCTTGCTACTAAACAGTCAGGGATTGCCTAGGCCCCTTCATGAATGTCAATAAGAAAACATATTTAGTTGGTACCATAAGATGACATGACAGAGCTAGACAGGCTCGCTACAGTGGAAAAAAAAAAAAAAAAAAAAGCCCATTTCTGATTTCAGCTGCATCTTTTTATCTCAGTAGGTGCAAGTGAATTGCACTGATCTTCTGCCTCTCTCGTGAAACCATATTAAAAAATCCAGACAAATATGCCTTCAAGACATCGTGGGACTTGATCAGTTTTGTATACTTCACCAGGATTTTGGTGGTAAACACATAAAAACATTTAACAGTGGAAGTATTACTAAACATGCTCTGAGTTAACTCATCTATGTAAATTTAGAATAAGGTGACTAAAAACCCAGAGATAACTCTTCTCTTTATCCACACTTCTAGGAAGAGCATCCTGAACTGTATAAATCGGAGAGAAGGCAGCCAAATGGTTGTGGTGGTGGGTGGTGGTTTTTCTTTTTAAATCACTGAAGTAAAGGGCTATCGTAAAGAGTCTGTGTAAGCAGTACAAAGTCTGGCTTAGTCATCCCCTGGCATCGAGCAAATACTGCTCCGAGGTTTGGGTTGTCACATTCTCTTATCTTGTACGTTATCTCTTTAACTCATTAAAAAAACTCATCCTTTTTCCACAGTTAAAGCATCTCCTACTGAAAATTCCCATGCTTTGAGCTCAGTGAGACCTGTGCTCATTCAGCAGTTCTAAAAGTAAAGTCCTCCGCGTGAGCTAGTTGAGGCAGCATTTTGTTTTTCAGAAATGTGACTATATTTGGCATTCCACTTTTCCCTGTTGGAGTCAGCCCTTGTCAGTCACTTCTTCTGACAGAAGCACAGGAAAAAAGTATTAAGGAAAAACACCCACCATGGTCTTGCGGTGGGACATGACGGGAAGGGAATATGCGCCAGTGGGGTTGCTGGTGCTTTTTAAAATGGTTGAATGTGAAGCAAATAATACTGACTTTGTTGAGATTCTTATTGTTGAGACTTTATTTTGTGCATCCTGTCTGTAGCAAACCAAATGTGTCTCAATACAATAGTTCAGTTTCTGAATAACGAGACCAAAGTAATAAAGAAATACCTGAGTCTCCTCATAAAGCGACGCTGATTTGTACTATAATGCAAGCTTTTATCTTTCATTTGATGTCCTGGTAATTACAGCCCTAGAAGCCTTCAGATGTCATTTATCTTGCACGAATTGATGGAGTTTAAGCATATAAAGATAAGGATGTCATTACAATGGAATTTTTGAGCCTTACTTAGTCAAAACCCATCTATGGCAACATCTTAGTTAGCTAAAAGGCTGAAGGCCCAGAAACCCAGAACTAACGCAGCATCAAACCACTCCGAAGTTTTTTACACGGGTTTTGCGGTGACCTTTTTCTCATTTATTTGCAAAGCCCTGGTTTTTGGAAGCACTCAGCACGGGAAGGGTTAGGCCCTGCAATACACGCTCCCCTCTGCGAATTCACCGGAGCCTTCGCAGCCAACACGCATCGGCCGTTACTCGCTGCCCGCAGGTGCTCGCGCTGCGGTCAGGACACTCGCAGGGGAAGCTGACGGTTCACGCAATCATCTCGGTTTCTACAGAGTAATGTGGTTTTCAGGATTTTCACCTACCCTGGACAGGCTGAGGGCTTCATACAGTTGATCGCAGCTGCTGCGCCAGCGGTCTTCTTTGGAGGCAGCCTTCAGGTAGACAGTTATTTTTGTCCTCCGAAATACTGAATTGGGTGCAGAAATTTCCATTTTGAACCCAAGTTTAAGAAAAAGACTTTGTTCCTTAAAGACAAAATGAATATAAAGTTTGCAATTGCACAGAAATTGCTGTGCCCCACTTAGACCTGTGAATGCTACAGCACCCAAGATGCACACGATAAAGCAAATGACCTCTGTAAATCAACACAGACCACCAACAGTATGGAATGACGGTGGCTCCCAGGCATAAGGCCGCTGTACAGCACAAAAGGTTTGCTTCTAAAGAGGCAGAGAAGTCAGCTCGGGAAATGCTGAATCCTTGTTCATAAAGAGACACGTCAGGTATTTGTTGCAGACGATACGCAGTCGTCCTCGGGGAAGCTGAAGTAGCACACAGGTTCTGTCCAGAATCTAACGCAGTACTGAGAGCTTCTGAACTGGCAGAAAGGCACCCATTAGCTTCAAGCCCCTAAAACCTCCAAGTCCTGACACATTTTCACACATTTTCAATGGCTTAAATGGCACGAGGCTGTAAGTTTTACAAACTCTCTTTAAACATGTCACCTGAAGTTGGTACTCACTTCTCCTCCATCAAAAGATGTACTGCAAGTTTTCTGGCTAATGACTGGAAGGGGTTACTTTTGTTTAAATAGCTTAATCCTTTTTCTATTAATAGATGTCTCCAAACAAATGTTATCTGACCTTCTATTTCACAGCAGTACTGGGTAAACTCAGCTGTTCAGGAACATACCTTTTGGAGCCTACAAGTATTTTATTAAGATATCTTTGAAAAGCAAGACTTTACAGGAGGAACAGCTTTGCAAGAACATCCTAGTATACGTGCACAAGGAATGGCTTGATTATTGTAAGTTATTACAACAGAGGGCTGTCAAAACAGAGAAACCCATGCAAGGGTGCATACAGGGGGATCCTGTGCTTTAAAACACACAAGTTTCTTCCAAGAGTCTTTCTATTTCTCGTCCATTTTCAAAAGATTTCTTCTGCCTAGATGATTTCAATCTCAAGAAAGAAAAATAAATTACTTCTCAGTTTCTCTGGGATTGTTTTAATGCGAAAGGTGGAATGTCAATGAAAGCTGCTAGGAGCTCAAGACAAGGAGCACTGACTTTCTACATCAAAATCCAGCTCACTCAGGAGCAGAGCTTTGATGGACTACAGCAGGAACCGGTCTGCCAATGCTAAGGCCTCTTTCATGGAGAAGTACATCTGCCACAGAAAAGTATGCTTTGCGTTGGGTTGTGCCGAATGAAGAAAAGGAAAGGATGGTCAGCATTGAAATCCTCCTCCGTAACCATGCAGAGCATAGCAATGCCAGCAGTGGCAGCCGCAGCTTCTGTGCCTTCCTCGTTCACGTCTACAAAAGCCTTGTGGACAATTTTAGAGAGAAAGAGGTCGCGTGCCCCTGACATTCCCGACAAGTCAGCCTTGCCACTGTCAAATACATCCAACAAGCCCAGAGCGGCTAAATCTGATTTAAGGTCATAGCTTTCTTCCAGCCTGAACTTTGGCAAACGCACACGAACGTCAGTGGAGTACAGATGCTCTGGACATGTCCATTCCTGGAGCTTCTCTAAGGTGAGCTGCTTTTCCAGCTAGAATTAAAAAGACAGAGATCATTACGTATCAACAGCGTAGAAATATTTCATTTTCAGTAACATTTACAGGGCTTTATAGAGCACTATACAACTGTAAAGCAACTACACAAAAATGACTGTACCCACATCTCTGATAGCTCCACACAGACCAACCAAATGCTATTACAGTTAAGTGGAGTCAGTGCAGTTTTTACTTTACAAGGTACCACAGTCATTTGCTTCTTGCTGCAATGTACAGAAGGGAAAAACGTACACTGATAGAAACTAAACCCAGTCATTCTTACTGTTTAACTAAATAGAATTACATAATTAAAAACAAGTAACAAAAATAATCATCCAAGAGCTCGAAGAATCTGATGTGTTCCTGGTCATTTACTGGAAAACAGCCTCACTGCTTTAAGGCTAAGAAAATAAAGACTTTCAAAGGTCACGAAAGAAAAGTTCTGTCGTTAAAAAAAATAAGCAAGGCGAGTTAGTTCTCATAACTGACTTTGTTTTCTCAGTCTTCTTCATGGTTCAGTTCAGCAAGTGAAAGGACACATGAACACAAGCAACAGAACCCGAACACGACTTCTCTTCGTGATGCACCACGTGTACGTATGCTTTACTGCAGTGCTAGCAGAGCATTGCCTAAAAATATGCTTGATGATAGATATGGGGCTCTGAGAACATGGGTTCATTAAGGCTTTAATTTTGAATGGAAGAAATTATCCATTAAATAACCACATTAGCTTTGATGGGTCACCTTCTGCAGTCCAGTGGAGTCATCTTCAATGTCATCAGGTAACAGGATGATCATACTGAGTTCTCTTCCATCATAAGGCAGCTCTAAAATACGGACCTTCACTTCAGGGATATACCCAAAACGAAATTTCTTTTTCTGATACATCATTTTCACTGTCTTTTTTTCATTCTGGATGGATAAAGGTACCAAAAGTAACAGTTAAGCAAAGACTAATTTAAAGAACTGATAGAAAATAAGTAAGTTAAAAATTGCATTCTTGCAAAAACTCCTCCTCCATTAGATCAGGTGATCATAAATCTGCCTTCATCGGACTCCTGACTGCCTGTTTAATAACAGTTTCTTCTGAAGACATAAGGAGTTTGTGTTGTATTTGGTTCTCCTTTGGCTTCTACAGCACAGTCCTCGCAGAAACTGAAACAATTTCTTCAAGTTGCTGTGCCTTTGTATTGCTCTAGCCCCCAAAATGACAATGTTAAAACCCAAAGATCAGCTCTGTTCAGCACAAAGCAGACGGCTGTGAACACCATCTTGTAAAGCTGTTAACATAAGCAGAACATAGAACAAGAAAACGGGGCTTAACCAAAACGTGTGAGCATTTTAATGCTGCTTACCCAGCATCACAAACAGGCCCAGTTCCTGGCAGCTGGAACTGCCAGCTGACAGAAACCCTCCTGGGCACAGGCAGGGTCCTCGTCTGCACCAGAGAGTTGTCTCTGATGCTGTTCCAGAAAGTGAGAGAAAGAATAGCTTGCTGCATACAGAAAAATGCTAAAATCCATAAAAAACTCTTTCAGGTGAACTAAAAACATTCATGAAAGTCTTTGTATTTTTTTAATTATTTTATCTCTAAGCAAAGCTTCACTTTAGCACCTATATTGTTTGACCTTTTCGTTGGATAGATGCTACCAAGACATTATCTGTATTACCTTATTTAACCGAAATGGCATGTCAGTGGTGTTGGCTTCTTCAAATTTCTCTGCCCAGTTCCCTTTGAAATAAATAGCGTTCACCAGTACGAGCCTGGTCATGTTATCAACCGAGCCTTCAGACAGCAGGTTAGGGATTTTACCTTCAGAGGGGGCAGGGAAGTAAGTCACAACAAAATCTGGTAGTAAATTGACGCATATAAAACATACATGAAGAAACAGATGCCATAGAAATACTACAAATATAAAACTCTACTCCATTCCTGTAATAAAGTGTGTTTCAGTACCTCTTTATCATACTTTTTAATATTACACACTACTATTATACTTTTGAGATACAGTAATTTGATGAAAGTGTAATATTTTTAGCTTAAACTGTCACATATGACTCATCACATTCATCATACAAGAATCAGAAGATATCCACGTTTAGGATTATTGGGTTTAGAAATATAGACACAATACGGACCAGGACTGTCCGAAACAAATTCTCCAACTTGTGTCTATAAATCTATGTTCAGGCATCTCCCCTGCACTCACTGGCCTGAACACACAAAAAATGGAAATGTCTCTGAATTTACGGAACTGTTTAAGGGTCTTGCTTAAACATTTCCTGGATCTGCCAATGCATCAATTGAGTATCCCAGGGCAAAACTAAACTGTTCCAAAGGTGGCAGAAAATAAAGTATGAAACACTACCAGTTACTTCATTAACCAAAGCAGTTTACCTTCAGTTTTCTCCTCTACCCACTGGTTAATTTCTTTCCTGGCTTCATCACAAGCCTGGAGAAAATCAACTGTAGCCAAATCAGCTCCATAGAATTTCTGAGTATTAGTCAGGAAATCCTAGATTTTGGAACGATAAGAATAGCTTTCAGTGCCTGCAGGTAAGAAAACATCTCTTTATGAGGTAGATAAGGTGCTTGTCGAACAGAGTATCACCCGCTCTGAGGTGGGCTCTAACAGTGCACTGCCTGGGGGGGTTTCTGAGGTTGGGCTGGGTTTTTTTTCCCCTCTCAGCCTCACAGTAAATCTGCCACATCTACGGCTGATGGTGTGCTTACTGCAGGTGTTGCAATATTTACCTGCCATTCTCCTGAAACAGGCGCCAGCACAGCTAGAATGAAAACAAAACTCCCCGAAAGAGTTGAAGGATAAAAATAGCCACCTAGGTACACACAAAGGTATAATTCACTGGTGAAGAGGCACGTTGTTTAGACATGTTGAGCATCCCCTCCCAACTAAATAGTGTTTTCAAAAATATTTAAGTAATGTGGTACTAGACCAATGAAAATCCTAAAAAGCTGATTGCAGCAGACACCGAGCTGGTTGCAACCTAAAAAGTTGATTGCAACAGACACAGAGCTGGTTGCATCCTAAAAAGCTGCCTGCAACAGAGTGGGATGTTGTGGTAGTTACTGTAAACTAAGAAACTAGACAAGCGATTTTCCTCTTGAGCCCGAGAGCAGCAGAACCAAGCAAGCAGTGAAAAGGATTTCTGTGTAACATCCTTTAGGTAAGATGCACAGGTGCCTACAGATACAGAAATGCATACGCACCTGTGCAACACTTATGTTGACTGCCCAGTAACCTTCAGAAACACGCCTAGAAATATTTCTACTCCATAAATACTCAAAAATAGCTGCATTTTCCCACCAGGTTCCACCACACCATCACAATCTCCACCAGCGTACCGGCAAAAAGCTGCAGGACTTCTCTCCAAAAAGCCGATTGGCAAGCCGTAAGAGATAGGGAGCATTGCTTCTGTTTATATCCATAGTCAGAGTCTGAAACCTCGAGTGAATATCCTCAACTTCGTCAAAATGAAGCGTCTGAAATAACAGAAGAGAACTAGATGCTGCTAATGCTGTCTTCAGAGAACATACAGTACATCTCCAGCAGGTAAGTGGGTTGAAGAAAGAGAAGAGGGACTTTGTAAACCTCAAGGAATGAGTGAAGCTGTTTCTCAGTGCTATGCTGCCCGTGTCAGCCACTCGTACTAAGCTCCTGGTTTACACAGTCACAGCGGAAGATGCTGATCGCAGCCCCGAGTCCTGTCCGTGTGACATCCAGATGCCTCCCTTCCGTGGACCACTGGGCACAAGGACTCGCTCCCAGGGGGGGAACTGAGAAGGGAGACGATGCCACAGAGGCACCTCTGCTTTCCTGCTGCCCCTTTGGCCCAAGGGACCCTGGGGTTTTTTTGCTCTTCAGAACATACAATCAAAACTAGCAGAGGTGAGGTCTTAAGAAAACTTAGAACAATTATCTTTTATGGTTTTATGAAAATATAACTGCTTTTATATATATATATAAACAAAAAAACTGTACAATCTTAAAAATCAAAGGCATCCCTGCAGTTTCTCCATGCTCAGAGGCAAGCCAGCCAGCCCAGGCTTACAGATAGGACAGCAGCAGCTGCCAGGCCTCACTGACAGGGAAGATGAGACCAAAGCAGGGACATTCACATTCAGACTTAAATCATGTATTTCTCAGTGGGCAAGGCTGCTGTGGAACCCCACGGGACTCAAAGGAAAGCCCTCATTTTATCTCACTGGGTTTTCTGGCCCGGCCTTGCCGCCCACATTAATGCAAGCTGTGTCGTACAAATGAATAGCTCAGCAACAACATCACAGAGGCAACTTACAATAGGATTATAATCACAGAAACAAACTTCTATACACTTGCAACAGCCCTTGACAGCCATCCATCACTGCCTCCCTAATTAGCTACGTTTTCATAAGTAAAGCACTACGGTATGGGAACACGCAGTACTGAGGTGATTGTGCTGGAACGCATTTTTTTCCCCAAGTTCCTTTTGCAGGATTTCTGCTGTCAGTAATTTATCTTAGGTGGGGCTGTCAGTTTGATTGCATGGCATACACGTTCAAAGTCTGTTTGTACAAGTAGTAAGAAAATGAATTTATTGTCTTATTCATACAGCATAAACCAGTTCCTCCTAAAGTCCAGAACACAAAGGTGAAATTATTCATCTGCAAGCACACGACGGTGGCTGCGGTGAGAAGTCTCGTACGCCCTTTTGCATTAGTGGGCGTTAGCCTAATGAAGGGGAAAAATAATAATGACCTTCCGTGCAGGAGGCCTCAGGGGAAACTGGCACACTCCCCACCACTTTTGCCATTGATGATGAGTTTTTTTTTAAACTATCCTACCTCACCTAAGGCTACGGTAAGAATAAGCATCTGGGCTCAGCTCCTCTGAGGTATCCAAGTGCCCAGCTGTTACTACAACACTGATACTTAGGTAGCATCGTCATATATTATCATAGTTATGGTTGAAATATAAAACTATATATTGTGTCACTTAGACAATACACAATATTATTAGTAATAAGCACACCATTCGTAACCCTGTATGACAAAGCAGTATTTCTTTGCTGAAACGTCTCAGTGAAGGTCTTGCTGCTGGAAACTCCAGCCAATTTAAATGAAGACTGATTAATTAATGGAATTAATTTCCTACTTCAAGAATTAATTTAATAAGTGAAATTAAGCGAGAAACAAGAGCCACAGCAAATACGGAAAGAGGGCTCTGGAGCAGGGCAGGCAGCAGGTAACTGCAGAAAGGAGCCTGAGGAAGGCTCAGTGAGCATGGCAGGAATCTTGTCCTGAGCACATAAAAGCAACACCCTCCTTTCATTTTCTCTCCTCTAAAACACAACAATTTTTTAATGTAAATAAAATATACAGCAAAAGAGAACTAGTTTGGTTTTGTTTTTTTTTTTTTTACTCACCTTCAGCACCTGGGCTTCTGTATTGCCTCCGGCCCCTAAAAGGACCATGGCCAGAGCAGCAGAGACCCCGACAGGAGAGAAGAAAATATTGCCCGTTGGGTTGGTCTCGTTAAACCTCCTGAGCAGATCAAGTGCAAACCTGCTGTTGGCGTTACGCAGGTTCTCCATGGTGACAGCTGAAAAATAAAACCGTCAGCAAGGACTCCCGGGGTACACTTTTCAAAAAACTAACCTAACCTTGTGGGACTCACGGAGCAAAGACTGGATTAATCTGGCTGCAGCTTAGTACAGACACAGCAAGAATTTCATCATCAGTGCATCTTTAAAAGAAATAAGTCACATTGAAAAAGCGTAAATTGTATATCCCAACCTAAGCTGTATATCCCAATATATTGTATTTCCCACGTAAATTGTGTATCCCAACTTTCCCTATCACATTAAAGACATTATTCAAAGAAACTCCTTGCCTTCCACGTTGCAATAGGAAGTCTGTGTGCTGGCAGGACTGCAGGCTGAAGCCCTTCGGTCTCAGCGAGCCAGCACACCCCAGAGAGCTCTCCCACGCCGCTCTCCCCCCGCTCTTCTACCCGAACCCTGCACGAACGACGTCTGCAGCAACCGCTCAGGGCGATCCAGCCGCCTTCCAGCAAGCTGCCCGCCTGCACGGCACAAACCGTGCCACAAAAAGGTGTCAGTCCTGCCAGCAGGTCACGTACACGCTTACCTTCAGCAGCAGGGGTTACCCCGAGCGCAGGGGCAGGGAGCTGGGGGGTGTCAGCCGAGGGTGACGTGCCCGGCTAGCGAAGGCAGAAGCGGCGAAGCTTCGGGGCTGGGGGTGCGCAGCCC